ACATACACACACACACACACACACACACACACACACACACACTAAAATTGAAAAAAAAAAGGCAAAGATACCAAGTGCAGCAATGAATAAATGGAAATCCTAAATCTCTGTAAATGTTCACTAAAATTAATAAAATAAAATTTTTTTTAAAAAAAGAGAAGACCTCTAATGAGATGGATTAACTCTGGGACTGCAGCAATGGTCTCAAGTGTATGAGTTGTTGTTGTTAAGTGCTGTCAAGTCGTAAATGACTATTAGTGACCCTATGAATGAAAGACCTTAACACTTGTATAACTTTCATCATTTCTCCAAGTTCATAGAGTTTCCAGAGGCAAGCTATTTCAGAAGTAGATGCCATTCCTGCTTCCAAGCTTGTTCTAATCTGGGAGCTCCACCAAATACTGTCCACCATGGGTAACCATTATTACATTGACACATCTGTGTCACAGTATTTAGCATCATAGCAACCATGAGTTAACTCTGTACAGCAAATGGATGTACCAATGCTATACCACTTAGAAGAATGTTTGACCATATCAAATTAAAATCAGGCCTGAGGGCCGCAGATTAAAATCACCCACCTTTGGCTTAGTAGTATAACTTTCTATCCACTAGGCCAACATGTTGTTGTTGTTGTTAAGTGTCGTCGAGTCATAGATGACTCATAACGATGCTATAAACGAAAGACCTGAACAAGTGTATGAGAAGGGAAAAAAAAATCAAGCACTTTGGGGGGGGGGGGTAAAAAAAAACAAGTGTTGTGCTCGCTTCGGCAGCACATATACTAAAATTGGAACGATACAGAGAAGATTAGCATGGCCCCTGCGCAAGGATGACACGCAAATTCGTGAAGCGTTCCATATTTTCGACCCTGAAATTAACAAGTCTGTAACTAAGGCTAACTCCTTTCACCTACAAATTTCGTCTTTGGATACAAAGCTAAGTGGATAGTCCTTACGGAGGGACTGTTTAAAAAGAGGCAGGGAAAAGAAAAGGAAAAAAAAAATCAAGTGTATCAGAAATGGTACAGTATAGGACAGGCTTCAGATCTGTTGTTCATAGAGTTGCTATGAGTTGTCCTTGACTCAAGGTACCTAATAACAACAACAGAGCTATTTTCATTTTCAGTGTACGACTGACTTAAGCACACTGATGTGCTTGTCATCCAAGCCTTGTCTTTCAAGAAGGGGAGGAGCATACATGTTGCTGTTGTTGTTATGTGCCCTTGAGTCCTTTGTGACTCATAGCGACCCTATGTACAACAGCCCTAAACTCTGCTCTGTCCTGTGCCAATCGCACTGTCTCTGACACTCCCATCCCGATTATCCCAGTCACTGAATCAATCCACCTCATAGAGGGCCTTCACATAAACAACTAAAAACTTAAAAAGGGGGTTTTTGCTTCTGTCAGTGTGTTGTTTTGGGGTTGTTATGGGTTTGTGATTTGTTGTTGTTTTTTTTAAAACATATACAAGTTATTATTTGGGCTCAAAAGAGGGAAGGACCAATTTTGGGTAGAGAAGGTCAGAACTGCTTCAGAGCAGTAATACTTGAGCTGCCCTGAAGATGGTTTCTGTAGATCAACTTTGCAACAGCTACCCATAATTAAAGATATACAAGTAAGAAGTTAAACTAAACATAACAGCTAAAATTTCTAAAGAAGATTAAGTAGGTATTGTGTGAAAATATTTACATAAATTATCTCAGTTAATCCACAAAATACCAACTGGTATTAGTGTTGTTATGAGTATATAATCAAAAGACGATTTGCATTGGGAAGGTTTGTTGTCAGGGACATCTCCAGATCAATGGTATCAGTCTGGAGACTAAGGTGAGAATGATCCAGGCCACGGTCTTCGCAATTACGTGCTATGCATCGGAAACCTAGACAATGTCTAGGGATGATAGAAAGACAATTGATGCCTTTGTGCTGTGGTGCTGGAGAAGAGTATTGAATATACCATGGATTGCCAGGTGAACAAACAGGATCGTCCTGGAGAGGGTGAAGCCAAGCTGCTCCTTGGAGGCAAGGATTCTTTCTGAAGCTTTGTCTGACATACTTTGGACATGTTGCAAGGAGGGACCAGTCCTTAGAGAGGGATGTCATGCTTGGGAGGGTGGAGGGACAGCGCAAGAGAGGAAGACCCTCGAAAAGATGGATTGACTCAGTGACTGGGGTAATGAGGTTAGGAATGTCAGAGAAAATAAGGTGGGTTCAGGATAGAGGAAGGAATTAGGAGTGGCATCCACATCCTAAACAACATGCCTCCGGAAATTATAAACTTTGATAAATGTCGATAGTTGTAGAGGGGCTTTTGTTCATAGGGTTGCTATGAGTCGTGCTGGACTTGAAGGCAATCAACATGATAGAGCAGGGTTCGGAGGTGTTGTATACAGGGTTGCTATGAGTCGCAGGTAACTTCACAGCACATAACCACCACCAATTCGATTAGATAAGGAAGGTTGATGCTGTACTTTCATTTTATAAGTGAGAAAAGTAGGCTTTAGTGCGATTAAGAATTTTGTCCGACGGTCACACATAAAATAACCTCATAAACGAGGCGTTTTAATCAGTGAAATTGACTATGGAGTCCCAACTTTCAAACCAAACATACCAGAAAAGGTAGGGGACAAGGAATCAAGTCAATCAATCACCCGGACAATGAATAAAGGTTTTAAGTAGCTTAGCGCTACAGCAGTCACCACCTGGCAGATTGTGAGGAGTTGGGAAGTTTTTGAGAAGTATTTAGGTAGCTTTCAGGACTTGGTATGGAGTTAATCAAGTTGTGTTATGAGTAACAGCGAAAACACTTAATCTGATTCGGGCTTTAAAGGCACAGCACTCAAGGGTTTTCTAAGTAAGGGAAGTGAGGCCTTCGGATTTGAGGACAGCCAGACGGTAGTCCAAGGTTGGAGTTCAGCAAATTTGCAGTGGGTTATGTTGGGGGTAAAGTCTGCGGCCACTCCCACCCCTCCAAGGGAGCGGGAAGTGCTGAGTCATTCAAGCACTGCGTGATGGGACGGGGCGGGGCGCGGGAGCCAATGCCCCTCTATTCTCCACCTCCTGCACCCCCGGCCCACTCTCGCGAGAGTCCAAGACTTTATAAAAACAGCTCCCCACGTAGTTTTCCCGCGTTCTCTTCCTGATTCCGCGCCCTTGTTTTTTTCTGGACTATTGGTGAGTGCGTGGACAGCGTGGCCTCGCGGACACCAACCCACCCTCCGCTCCCTCCTGTTCTCGGTTTTCCCCGGGCCCCACAAAAGCTATACTTGGGGACGTTGAGACCTGGTGACGCGGCGGCCCTGCTGCTAGGGCCGTGCTCTTACTCCCACGTCGGCCCTCCCCGTTTGTTCCCGGGGACTGGTTGAGCTGCAGCAGGGCGCTGTTAGGTTGGGCGAGATAGCAGGATTGGATGGGGGTGGGATTGCCTTAGCCAGCCGTTTTATTTAATTTTTTTTAATTTGTTGTTGTGTACCGTCGCGCGTCGAATCCGACTGGCACAGGAGAGTACCCCTCCTACTTCGGAGCATCAGGTGGATTCGAACCACGAGCCTTCTGGATTGCAGCTCAGCTTTGTGCCTCTAGGTTACCAGAGCTCCCCGCTCGGATAGCCTTTAGTTGAGTTAAAGAAGTTTCTAAAATGGGCCTGGAATTTGACTTGTGGCTCAGAAAGTTACCTCTCATAGGGTTTTGTTTGAGAGTATTAAAAAAGCGGTCCGGATCCCGTGTTGTGACTTGCTGCGAACTTTAGGTCCTTCGCTTCACTTTCACGTTTTCGGTTCCCCATCGATGGAATGATCGCGAATGCCCTAGCTGAGCACAATGTTTGCTGCTGCTATTTCGCAAATTACTAGGAAAGTGGGGGTAGCCTTAGCGCACGGCGGTACCTGAACTGGAGTTTGGAGGCGTGGGGAGATCTGGGGGGGGGGGGGGCGGAAGTCCAAGCTTTCGCCTAGGATTGTCGGGTTTCAGTATGATGGACTCAGAAAAACCGGTTTGGAAAAAGAGGGAATTTGTTAGCGTAATACCCCGCAGTTCTTAACTTTCAGCTTAAAAAAATTTTTTTCTTTGAAACAGACAGTAGAAACTTGGTGAATGTTATTCCTAGGCATGCAGACACTGATTTTTTTTCTTTTGGCTGTATTATGAACCAAGAACTTAGTGACTGGTTGGGGAAATATTCGGGGGACCTCTCGTGTCCCAAAGGTTATGAGTCTCTGGTGGTTCAAATCAACCAGCAGTTTTGCAAGAGAAATATGAGCAGGCTTTTCCAGATGGAAGGTCGCTATCAGTGACTCCATGACGGTGATTAAGGGTTTTCAGATGGCGTTAAATCTTATTTGTTATTGTGTTGGGTGAATCCATCCAATGAAATAAACAGACGCTTAGCTCTCATTTTTGTGTGGAGATTCATGGCCTGAGGGCTTTAAACACGGCAAAATTTTGAAGTTGAGCTGGTTGTTTTAGTCTGGATTGGCTTTAGGATGTGAAAATCCACGTGTGCTTTATGCTTTAGATTGGGGTGCATTTCGCAGAAAGGCAACAGTGTATCTTTTTGAGGTGGCCCATTCAGTGCTGATGGCATTGTGCTTTGTGTTTGTACTTTAGTTATGGTTTGAGTGCTTCCACTGCAATCCTGCTTCTTTGCTTCAGTAAAATGGAAGAGGAAAAGAAAACACCATTGCATAAATCTCGGTAAAAGTTGACTTTGATTTATTTAAAAGTGCCTTTTTAAAAGGAAAACAAAACAAAAAAAGATTTTGAGATCTTTGCAGTGTTGTGTTGGTTTTTGTTGTGGGTTTTTCCCCCAGTAATTGGAAAGTTGAAATTGTGTCCCTTCTGTTTTGACTATGCTTTCACTTGCTACTAATAACAAACAAACATTGTGTTCAGAGCCACTGGAACTCATTCTTCTGCAGCTGGTTTCATAGTAGTAAAGGCTACAGTTGATCTAAACCCAAGGCTTCTTACCTATTTCCTCTTTTAATTTTTCCAGCTGATAACAAGATGTCTTCAGGAGCTGCCAAAATTGGGTACCCTGCCCCTAACTTCAAAGCTACAGCTGTTATGCCAGATGGTCAGTTCAAAGATATCAGTCTGTCTGACTACAAAGGTAAGAATCATTGATCTTATTAAAAGGTGAGTTAGGACATAATAGATTTTATAATGATTGTTAGGGAAAAAAAGTTGACAGAAAGGAAGAAACTGGTTGATCCCAAGTAGTGAACAGACATTTATTAGTAGACCTGAGAGGGATGCCAAGTGATTGCCTGCAGAGAAATAAAAATGGCTGGCAGACAGTTTACTTTTACGGGGGCCTTTTGGGAGTATTAGAGAAGATGGAAATTTGCTCAGAATTGCGGGTGTCTGTGAGCTTGGTGTGGGCACTGGTGATCAGGCCTTGAGCCTTACTAGGATCTGGTCTTGTGTCATCCTTATCAGGTTTCTTCAAGGTGTGACCAGGCTTGGGTGAAACTGACATTCTTCCTTCAAGGATAACTTACTAAATAATCTGTATTTCGATTATACTCTGTTGTGAAATACTTTCTATTTCCCGGAAAGGTTTTTAAGGCAGGCTAATGGCCTTCATGTTAAAGTGAAATGATAATGATCTGTGTTTACAGAATAGATATTTTAGCAGACATCTAGAGAAAACAGATGCTGCTTTATAATCATATTAGCTCAATTTCAGTGTCCTCTGCACTTCTGAATTATAGACGTATCTATTAAAAAGTCTTGGTTTTGATACTGTTGAGGTATTATTAAATGTGTATCATAGCTGCTATATATTAGACAAGGGCTAGGGTTCATTCTCTTTTTGCTCTCCTCCCACCCCAAAGGTTGATGTCACCACTAAACCCACTCTCCTCTTGTTGTAGTTACTTGCCGACACTTGGCAAGCTATGAAGCTTTTCCTTTCTAACAGTAGTAGGACAGCTGGGTCCTTTCAGAGAGTTCTTTAGAATGCAAACCCAAATGGTGTTGGGTGTAGTTTCTTAGAAGTGCACTATCAGTTGGAGTTGGCTTTTGGCTAGAATGTGATTTCCTACCATCATATATGTACTGTACTTAAGTGCAGCCCTGTGGAGGGAGACTTGTCCTGACACATAAGAGTAAGGAGCACCAGAGGGAGGTGATACTGGCCCAAGAGTATTGACACCAGGTCTAGGAGGAGCTGCTCTCAACCCTCTAGGGCTTGATCTGCTGAGACTTAAAAATGCTTTGTTAGACAAAACCTTTGAGTCAGTTTTTCTTTATGAGTCAGTTTCTTATGGTTTTGCATTTCACAGTAAATGTTAAAAAGACCTTTTGTTTGACCTGCTAACAGTGCTACCACTTGGTTAATAAAGTGAATAATGTTTATTACTTGGAGTTGTTCCAAAGCTCAGCCCCTAGGTGTGGTTAGTGATTGCCTGAGTTTTGAAGTTCTGCTTGACTGGTAATGTTTAGTTATATGTTCTTTTAATCTACCAGGACTTCTGGAACTTTTTACTTGCCTTTTTTCCTGTTTGGTCAGGCTTATTGGCAAGGTTGTAGTGTGATGCATACAGATCCTTACCTGTCCCATCACTGTGGTTCATGGAAGAAATCCAGAAGCCCTTACTTCCTTGTGTTGGCAGTAGGGAAACGAGAAGTTCATCTTTCTGTGGGCATTATTTTATTTATTTACTTATTTTAAAGTTTGGTTTTTTTAAATTATTTTTTTGTGTGTATTGTCAAATTGGATCTGACTGGTACAGGAGGAGATTGTCCCTCCTTCTCCAGCAGAGCACCTGTGTGGGCATTAGTTTTAAACGCTGACATTAAGCTACCCAGTTAAATTAATTGGTAATTATGTTTTGCTTTTTCTTCACTGGAGTCAGAACTTTGTGCTTATGGGATTAGCCATCCATAGGAGATAAATTAGACTGACAGGTTTATAGTTGGCACATAATATGGAAGCAGGGGAAAAAAGCATGAAGCTGAAAAAAAGCTTTTCATATGTGAGTCCCTGGTATGTGTGGTATCAAACTAAAAGAGCTTTTGTCCTATAAAGTAAGGAAATATCAAGGACTAACCTGTAGATCTTTTTCTTTATAGGAAAATATATTGTGTTCTTTTTTTACCCTCTTGACTTCACCTTTGTATGCCCTACGGAAATAATTGCATTCAGTGATAGGGCAGAAGAATTTAAGAAGCTCAACTGCCAAGTGATTGGTGCTTCTGTGGATTCTCACTTCTGTCACCTGGCTTGGTAAAACTTTTGGTTTATGTGGCATGTAGATTTTTTAAACTAAGCAGTTGGGAGTAGACGACTACTTGGGCTCCTTGTGGAGAGAGCAAAGGGTGTCACTTCCTCTTTCTGCTCTCTTACTACCTGGCAGCAGGGGAAAAGCAGCTTAAGTTGCAGCTGTTTAGTATACTCTGCACTGTCTTAATCCTTTTACATTGCTCCTGGGCAGACTTGTGGTTTGGAGAGAATTAGAAAAGTAGGGAAAAGAGGAAGAAATGGGTACAATTAATTCTTTAGGTAATTAAATTCATGTAATTGTGTGCCTTTTACTACAGGATCAACACGCCCAAGAAACAAGGAGGGCTAGGACCCATGAACATTCCTTTAGTATCAGACCCCAAGCGCACCATTGCCCAGGACTATGGAGTCTTAAAGGCAGATGAAGGCATCTCATTCAGGTAAACAATTGGCTGTGGTGTAGGGGCTGACATTCATCAGGAAAATTGTTGTATTGGCCAAGAATTCATTTGTTTGGAGAGGGCTAGAGCTCTTTATAAGAAACCTCCTCACTTAAGAATCGGCCAGCCCCATTACTGTGCACTTCAGACTTTAAAGTCTACAAAGCAAATTTCTGAATTTCTTCTTCCTTTTAATTTCTTCTAGGGGCCTTTTCATCATTGATGATAAAGGGATCCTTAGACAGATCACTGTGAATGACCTCCCTGTTGGTCGCTCTGTGGATGAGACTCTAAGACTCGTTCAGGCCTTCCAGTTCACGGACAAACATGGAGAAGGTGAGCCAGCTGCCTGACAATGGGAAAATGGTAGAAATAGATTGTCAAGAATGATTGTCTCATCAGAAAAGTAGAAAGCTCTGTTGAGGAAGTAGGGATGGAAATGCTTAGTGAAATACATCAAGTTTATGTCATTTTGAAATACCTAAATTCTCGAAAGTGTGAGTATTCAAGGTTTATTTTTTATTACGTCTGCCCTAAACATGACAAGACAGAACACATTGAACTTTTGGGCTTTGCTGGCATTTTTTAGAAATGGGAACATTTCCTCCCTGTTGCTCCAGAACAAGTAGTTCTCAACATGTTCTCATGTGTTGTAATAAAGCAGAGTGCCATTTGATCTTAGCTTTTTCATTTTAGGACTGTAGCTTCCCCCTCTTGAGTACAGCTTTTCTTGGAATGAGACCATCTTATCCTGAAGAATTAGCTTAGTTTTTAAGAATGTAGTTGCTGAGGCTTATTGAAAAATGGGGATCTTGACCCACCCTGCTCGAGGTTTATGTAATCAAGAACAAGGTAACTACTACAACTAATCAACGAGTTTAAGGGTATAGCTTTGGTTGTGTGACTGACATTGGACAATTTTCTTCGCTTACTAGATTTTTTTTTTTTAACCCCCTCTGGTTTCAGACTAGACTGAAGATATATTTTAGCTGTGTTTTTGTCTAAAGGAATAAGAGTCTTAAGATTTTTTGAGGGGTCCAAAAGTGATTTAAGAGTGAAAAACAATAAAAGGGCTAGTGAACACTCATAGTAAGTACGCAGCAGTTACACACGATGTGGCTTAACTGAAAGCGTATGTTCGTGAGGCATCCCCCTAGTGGAGGGTGAGGTTGTAGCGCCTAGATATGGAGGAGGTATGGCAAAGGCAGCCATTTCCTGGACTTTGCATATATGCTTATCATAAAACTTCATTATTTGTTTTCTATTGGTCTTTGCTGCTTTCTAAACCCACAGTCTTGCCACTTTTTTAATTGCTTCTAATAGCCTGCATTTGAGAGCCTGTCAGTACCAGTTCTATTCATGTATATATCAGTATATGTGTGTAATACATGTATTGTTATGTAACAACATATGTATAATATTTATCTGACAAGTAAAGCTAAATTATCCCTCTTAGGACCAGTAAGTAAAAAAAAAAATTTTTTATTTATTCACAGTAAATGGTGGAGTAACTCCCCTTTTTTTTCTTTTTTTTTTAAGGTAATAAAAAATGTTGGAAAAGACACTTGTTAGAGCTCTTGTGCTGGAGCAGGTCTCATACTGAAATGTCATTTTCTCCTGCACTTTGCTTGTGCATTTAAAGCTAGTTATGCTGTGTATTATTTCTGATAAATATCTATTAAGTATCAATCTTTTGTTGAGGCACAGTACAAAAGAGACTTGAGTTAGCAAGTCTTTCTGATTAATCACTTCTTTGTGAGACTCACCTCTTTGTGGCATGATTTATAATTAGACTAAAGTTTTTAGCTTGCTGATTCTTCATAAGTGCCATTTAGTCAATTTAGATTAGGATGTCTTGGGCTTTCACTTTGGAGAGCATATAACCAAGTCTTCCACAGAACTGCTGCTGATGGATTTGAAGTGCTGGCTTTTTCTGTCAGCAGCTGAGTATTTGACCATTGTGCTACCAAGGTTCCGTTGTTTATTTTACTTTTTTTTAAATCCTGATTAACTATGACAATTAGGTGGAGACTTCTGAAAAGCAATGCAAACAGTAATGGTTTACTCTAGTGTTTTTTTCCTATTCCTATATTGTGGCCACAGAGCTTGGTTTGGCATCTGAAATTATGGCATTCTCTGCTCTGAAAGAGCTTTCATTTCTTACTTGAATAAGACTCTTGCGATACTGGACTTCAGTGACAGCATGTTTTGTAGAAGACAAACCACAAATCGGATAAGTTTAAGCATTCCATTGAAGTGAGCATTGTGGGAAGTATGAAAATCAAACATACATAAAAGGTGATTTAAGCTAAGATAGACATTAGTCAAGTGAGAGTTAAATTATATTTGTCAGGTGGTTAGCCTGACTATAGGCTGAATGATCTCAGCAGATTGCAGAGGTAAGCTCCTTGGGCTGAAGTGATAGTTTTCCATGAGGATGTTGCCCACCACTGAGCAAGTTACTGATTAGTGGCATCTATCTTTTTTGTAGTGTGCCCAGCTGGATGGAAGCCTGGAAGTGATACCATCAAACCTGACGTCCAGAAGAGTAAAGAGTATTTCTCTAAGCAGAAGTGAGCACTGGCCGACCCAAAGTGCCAGGCTGCAGTGGGCAGCATTGAGAACAAAAACATCTTTTGTACATTCTTCGTGCTTAAAACACAAGGTCCTAGACTTGGCCAAGATGTGGTGTGTGATAGGATAGGTCTTTTCCAGCAGAGGTTGGGATGGACAACGTTCTTATGGCCTGAGCTATACTGTTGGATAGGCCAGCTGTTGTGTATTATGTACCAATAGTAGTGGGACCTGAGAGTATTAATCTTTTATAGTTTCTATTAAACTTGTGAACCAAGACCTTGATGATGTCTTTAATTTAGGGGGTATTTACCCTTTTTTTTTTTTTAAATTTGTGTGTGTGTGTGTGTGTGTGTGTGTGAGAGAGAGATCAAATCAGATCTGACTGGTACAGTAGGAGATTGTTCCTCCTTCTCCAGCACAGCATCTGATGGATTTGAACCATGCACTCTGAGATTGCAGTACACCTTCTTGCCACTAGGCCACCAGAGCTCGCCTTACCTTTTGATTTTTAAGGAAAATTTCTTTTTAGCTTTCCCTCTTCAAGGGGAAAATGAGGACTTTGACACCTGTTTCACAATCAGGAAGTTACGTTGGAAATGCATAACAGGACTGTGGTGTTATATTTATTTCATTACACCTTGACATGAAGACTGCTTATGCTATCAGCTGAGTTGCAAGGCCCCAAGATTACCTTAGTACCTACATTTACATCATTGGGATGGTTAGGGGAGAACCAGAGGCTTGGGCTTTTCTGATAAATGCCTGGTGTTAGCAGTGTAAGAATAGAGTTGCATTTCTAAAAGGAGAGAGACAAAGGCTAACGGCCTTGAGCACTCATCTTTGTTGAATTCCAGTCTTGGAGAACTGCTGTCAATTGGTCATTGACCTCAAGTATAATACCTGGCCCCTCCAGCATCTGTAATCCATTTCCTCAAAGGGTCTTTTCTGGCTTTGTACTTAATTAACATAATGCTGTTCTTCCAGTGATTTCTCCTAATGTAAAAAGAGACTAGGTGAAGTAGGGGCAGCCACTTATAATCTCAACTAATTTTACACAAAATGGAGGGCAATCTCAACATCCACAACACAAAGCTGATAGCCAGTGAATTCAAACAAGTCTCCATGTTCCCACCTTGTTTTCAGGAGTGGAGCCCCTAATCTGTTGGGATGGCCACAGAATAACTGTTTATTAGGGAAGTTTTCTATCTCAGAAACTGACCTTTCAGAGGTGGAGAAATTCCTGTATTTTTTCCTAGGAGCAGCTGGGGAAAGCTACCAGACCTCTGCATTAGGGAATTTATGTGCTTGTGACCCAGCAACCCTATTCTCTCCTGTGCCAACCTTACTGTCTCTGACACCTACCCCCATTACCCCAGTCACTGAGTCCATTTCATCCAGTGTCTTCCTCTCTTGTGCTGTCCCTCCATCCTCCAAGCATGATGTCCCTCTCCAAGACTAGTCCCTCCTTGCAGCATGCCCAAAGTGTGTTAGATGAAGCTTCAGAATCCTTGCCTCCAAGGGGCAGCCTGCCTTTACCCTCTCCAGGACAATCCTGTTCTGGCAGTCCATGTACTCTTCTCCAGCACGACAGCTGAAGATAACAATTCTATCATTCCTAGTCACTTGCCCATCTTTCTTAGGCATAGTAAGTACAAAGACTGGCCTGGATTAAGCACACCTTAGTCATCAGATTGACATTGTGTGTGTGTGTGTGTGTGTGTGTCTTTAACAAACATGTTTATTCTTCCACAGTTCAGGTTAGATGTCTTTATGCAAAGTACTGATTGTGGGGGAAAGCGCTCTCTCAGCGTTGCCTCTGGAAGAAGGTCCTTTATCTCTTTCTCCATCCATGGGCCTGGCACCAATCTCCCCTCAGTTTAGATGACTTTCAATATAGGGAACCCAGGTCCAAAGAACACGCTCTGCTTGGTGGTAGTCAGGCCCCCTTAATCTTGGCTTGATTGTTTAATCTTGTTTCCATTTAAGAAGAGAGACTCAGGTATCATTTAATCCTGTAGGTTGTATCCTGCCTCATTAGGAAAAGTGCTTCTGATCTTATCTCATTAGCATGACAAATGATAGGATTTACAACACATAGGAAAATCACATAAAACTTAAAAGTCAAGATCTGTCCAGGTTGGCACATATTTGGAGGAGGATGCAATTCAACCTATGACATCATATGTCTAATGATGACCAAAACCATTACCCTAGAGTCAAGTTTAACTTGAGTGATAACCCCCTCAGTAAGTTTCTGAGACAAAAAATCTTTCCAAGAGGAGACCACCTATTTTTTTTTTTTAATTTCCATTCATTCATTGTTGCAGAGACTGCCTATCTTTCTAATGGGCTTGAACCAGCAATCTTTTGATTAGCAACCCATCACTTGATGTACTGGGTCATCTATCTGTCCCATTTCTCTCATTTCCATTGACTTATAGATGGATCCTCTGTGGGGTTTCTAAGGCTGTAAATCACCTGAAAGGGATTGCTCACCCTCCTCTCTGAGCTGCAGTCAAGCTACCAGAGAGTAGCACCCTTCCTGTTAGCAGTGCGACCCCCTGTAGGTTACCATTGTTACGTAACATCGAGTCAGAACCAACCTATAGCTGACCCTCCAGCAGGTTTTCAGAGGCAGGAAATCACACAGGAGGAGACTCCCATCTTTCATGTGCAGAACAACTGGGGGATTCAAACTCTGTATCTTCAGGTTGGCAGCACAGCTTCTCACTTCTGGGCTATGAAAGTTCCCCGTCATCTTGGGCTCCATGGCAGACTGCTCACAATTTCACTTAGCGTCAGAGACTCCAAACTCTCTCACTCCCGTCCTCTTTCTCCAGCCCTTCCTTCCTTCCTTCCATTCTCTTTCTTCTTCCCTCTTCCTTTCTCTTTTCATCTCTTCTAATTCATAGGGTCATTTTCATACATTCTGTGTCTGCTTCTGTGATGGGCATTCTTGGGCTCCAAGGCAACAGGGCCTGAGAGAGCAAGATGGAAGGTTCTGGAAGGAAGAAATGGTCACCATACCTCCCACTCTGTAAAGGCCAATTCAGAGTGGAGAGGGGAAGCAGCCAGGCCGCACACTTAACCTTTCTGACATTGTTGCTCTTAAGTACTTTGGAGAGGTCTCCGACAGACTTTTCCAATGCAATTCATCTTTTAAAATTTTTGGCTGTGGTTACTAAGTGTTGATTGTCAAACAGTTAATGCCAATGCCAATCTCTTCACCATCTATTACGGTGTTTCCACTGGTGAAAATCTGTGTTCTTGATGTTGAGCTTCAATACTGAAGGCTGCAGTCCTTGACCTGCTTTAGGCCCTCCTCAGTTTGAGCAAGCAGGGTTCTTGACACCTGCATAACAGATTGTTGAAGAGTCTTCCTCTAATCCTGATGATAGAGCCCAGCCTCTTGTATAATCTGTTCTGCATATAGATTGAAAAGGTATGGAGATAGGACACATCCCTGGTGTACACCCTGATTTTGAACCATACAGTGTTTCTTGTTCTGACCACTGCCTCCTGGTCCAAATAATAGGTTTCATGTAAGTACAATCAAGCGTTCTGGGATTTCCATTCTTTTCATCAGCCAGTTTGTTGTGATCCACGCAGTCAAATGCTTTTGTATAGTCAATGAAACATTTCCTCTAGTATTCGTGAACAGGTTATAATTCAGATTGGAAATAGTATTCCACTTTACAGTGCAGATAGGTGCTCAAACATGCTTATATTCTCTGATCTTTTGCCTGTAGGTCAGTGTTAAAAAAATTTTGCCAATTATGGTCTACTCCTTGGCTTAGTGGCAAGGTACTGCACTACCAACCCAAACAGCCAACCCAAATCCACCAGCTGCTTCTAGGGAGAAAAATAGGAAATCTCATGTGAAAAAACCCATACTGGAAAGTCAACTGTCCCAACTCATCACAGGACACAACTCCAGTCATCCAGGGGTAGGCTAAAGCCCTTGGCTTTGGCTTCTAGGGTAGCAGGTCCCATCTGCCTAACCCTGCTCAGTTTAAGCCAAGCTGGGTGGCATGTTCCTTCCCAAAAGGTACCTCATTCATAAGAACCCAAGTCAAGTGACATAATGAAAGCAATGGGCTCACTATAAGCACTGATTTAAGTGATACCCTCCAGCGATTTTGCAGAGGTGCTAAATCAAAGGATGAGATTGCCCTGCTAGGGGATTCAAAATACCAGAATAGGCACCACCTTTGGATTAATGCAACACTAGCCACCACACCTTCAGGAAATCAAAAGAGAATTGCATTGTAGAAAATCTGTTCCAAAGTAATGAAGAGTAGTGATGTCAGTCTAGAGCCTAAGGTGGGCCTGATCGAGGCCATGGTAATTGCAATTACTTGCTATGCATCAGAGATCTGGATATTGCCTAAGGATGAGAGAAGCATTGATGCTTTTGTGTTGTGGTTCTGAAGAAGAATATTTAACATACCATGGACTCTTAAGAGAATAAACAGTTCTCCCCTAAGGAGGCTCTGGTGGCGCATGTGTGCGCACAGTTTGAATCCACCAGATGCTCTGCTGGAGAAGGAGGGCCAATCTCATGTGCCAGTAGGATTCGATTTGACAGTACACAACAACAAAAAACAGGTCTATCCTAGAGAGGGTGAAACCAGGCTACTCTGTGGAGGCAAGGATTTTAAAGCTCTGACATACTTTGGCCATATAGGAAGGAGGGACTGGTCCTTGGAGGAGGACATCATGCCTGGAAGAATGGAAGGACAGCTTGAGAGGAAGACCCTCAATAAGATGGCTTGATTCAATGACTGGTAATGGGGCAGAGGTGTGTCAGAATGAAATTGGCTCAAGATAGAGCAGGGTTCAGAGCTTTTGTACATAGGTTTATTATGAGTCATAGTTTGAGGGCACAAAACAACATCCACTAGACCACCAGAGTTCTTGAAATCAATGAATTAGGAAATCTTTTTGACAGTCAACCCTTTGTACCATATGTATTCAAAGTAAACAAATTTGACAATCCTCTATTGTCATCCTGGTTTTCATTGGCTAGCCTTTAGCAGTTAGTTTTTGCCCTTTTTTGATTGGAGCTTGGTAGATGGGGACCGGTTGTTGGTGAGAAGTTAGGTTTTTCCTGGACCCTTGGGACTGTAAGGCAAATTCAGAACTGATCTTTTTTATTGCTGCCCTTTGCTACTTTACTCTGTCAGCCCAGCCCCCTAAAAGATTCTCAGAGCCTTTAATAACAGCCAACACACTAGAGTACTTGTATATTTATTTACAATAATCCCTTGAGATGTATGGTATTTAGGAAAATACCAGTTTTGCTGTTCAGATTCTGTAATGATTATCTTGGAGCACTATGAAGAAGTAGTAATAAATAGTTTCACATGCCAATATAGGTTGGAATTCTGGACCTATCTTGGTGTTATTGTTTTGACCTAACTTCCTGAGCCTTATCAAAAATAGTCATCTTGCACTCAAAGCTTCTTGCCAAAGTCAAGACTTTGCATGTACCATTGTCATAAATAGGGGTCCCACAGAGGAGGGATGCTATCAAGGGCCAGGGGATACAGTAGGTGAGACTCTAGGACTGAGCCAGCCTTGTGCTCTCCTGGAATTCTGGGGTTTTGAGGTGTGTGTACTAAGGGGAAGTGACTCGGAGGATACAGAGCTAACTTCAGAGGGCAGGGATAAGCCCAGCAGGGCCCAGCGCTGGGCTGGTGGTGTAGAAAAGTAGGCCTTCTGTTCTTCTGAGTAGCGTTCCTGGGGAGTCACAGCATCCCGGTAAGTCCAGTCCTGCCAGTGGAAATTGAAGCCTTCAAGCAGAGTGATGCGCTCAGCTCTTGTAGGAACACAGTCAAGGGGCTTTGTGGGTAGCAGGTCTGGCACCTCTATCCCTGGCAGCAGCAGCACCCCTCGTATGGCAAACCAGCCCCCAAATCGTGGGTGTATACATACACCAGATATGTGCTGGAGAAAGGGTAAAGAAAAAATATCGGCACTAGATAAATGACCACCCAGTAGATATTGATTGCTATTTTTAAGCTTTTTCTCTTCCTCTCTCCTGAACAATTCTTCATATAGACTCACTGTGGCCAAGAGGGAGAGCTCATTAGGTTAAGCTTTAACTTGCAGTTATATCACGACTTTGATTGCTACCCTGCACTTTCTATCCTGAAATAGCCCTATAAGACTCAAGGGTTTTAAGTTTTAAGAATAGATCTACAGGAAACTGCACTGCAATCCCAGAGGTGAGCGTTTCAAATCCACCAGATGCTCTGCTGAAGGAGAAGGAACAATCGCCTCCTGTACCAGTCAGATCCAATTTGATGGTACACACATAAAAATAAATAAATATTTTTTTTAAAAAAAGGGGGGGGGAAGAACAGATCTGATAATATCCAGGTAGTGTCCTGGAAGTAGGTTGTAGGGCCAAAGACTGAAGCTGGCCAAGGAATAGCTGCTCTGATTTACCTGCCAACTCCATTCAGAAGAGCCAAGAATGTGCGTGGAGCTGTCACCATTTTTCTCAGAGTATGCACCCATTTACATTTGCCCTCTGACCTGTGTACCCCAAGGGTCAGCCTCCACATCCTGTCGTTGGTAGTAGTAAGCAGCCCCTGCCACATGGGCTGCTGTCTGGGCCAGAATCTTGGGGCGTCGGTTGGGGTGTACCTCATAGTCCGCAATAACTTGCATCCGCAGTTCTGGAAAGCTCTGGGATAGATAGAGACTTGTCAACATGAAAGGAGTTACAACATTGTGGGGAACCTTGATACTGGGTTAACACTGTCTTGTTTTCAGATGTCTTAATTGAAGGGACTCTCTCCTCAGGGAGGGAGGCTCCAATGTGGAAAAAGTTTGGTTTTGGAAGGCCCATATTCGAAGGGAAAGACAGGTCTTGCTCAGAAACCTTCATTGTGAAGGGTGACTTGGCTTTGTCCTCAAGAGCTTGTAAAGTGGAGAAACATGACCCAGCTTTGGGGAAGACCCAGAACATGTGAGCATATTTTTGTGTGACAGTGGGGGTATGTTTTTCCTCCTCAAAAGGCTTAAAAAAGAAGAATGTTTGGACAGGAGAGATGCTAGAGGTATCAGGCTTATTTCAGGCTTAGTGAGTATGATTGGTTAGAGATTCATCATGCTATCAGAGGAAGGTTGCCAAACCTAGAGTTAGAAGGCATCAAGGAGAAGTGGTCATGCAATGGAACTGAAAACAGGTGCAGGCTTGGCATGGGGGAGGAGTGGCAGGACAAGAATCTTGCTAACCTCTCTAACTCGGCCAAGGTGGTAGGCCACACACTGGTCCACAGGGTCCGTCAGTGGTTGGAGATGGCAGCTCTGCAGGAAGGGCTTGAGGGCTCGATCAAACATAGCAGGTGTGCTGAGTACCAGGAAAGCGAGGGTAGATCCTGGCAGGGGCAAGTGGAAGGCTGGAGGCAGAAGTGCATTGTACCACGCCACCTGAGGCAGAGAAAAAGTTCAGATCAGGTGGAGCACCCTGGCCTCTATAAATCAGAAGGGCCAACCTTAGCCTTAGGTATGCCTATACATAAGTTTGGTATTAAGGGTTTCATATAATGTGCCCTAGTCTTATTATTGAATGACTATTCACTGATGTGTGTTTATGGGGAACTCTAAATCGACACAGAGAACTCAGAGTACAGAACAGATCATGAATAAGTAAGAACAAAAGAATATGACTTTAAAAAAAAACAAAACAAAACAAAACAAAAAGAATATGACTGTTCAGTGATTACTGTAATGACAAGAAGATCCTCTGAAATTAGAAAAGACTACTGGGGAAGCCAAATCTTGGAGGCTGGAAAGTACCAGGCAAACTAGAGAAGGTGGATCTAGGGTGTATACTACACAGGTCACAACGTATGTACTGGAATTATTTTAGATAACAGCAAATTATCTGGAGGAAGTAGAATTTATATAGAGGAGAGCAGAGGAGTAAAGAGATCAAGAGTGAAATGACTAGCCTTGAACACCAAATTAAGGTAGCTCTAATTTGGCAACAACGAGGAGCCACTGAAGACTAAAGGAGTATATCAGTTTTGTTTTCTGTTTTTTTGGCAGCAGTTTTAAAAGATCAATCTGGCTGCTATGTTGATGGTGGGCCGGAAGGAAGACGACAGCCCCAGGTTACTGCAATAATCCAAAGGAGAAAAGATGGATGGTGTCCTAGAACAGAGCTATGGGTGAGATGGAAGGAAAGAAGAGATTCAGAAAACAGAAGCCTATAGGGCTTCATGACTGACTTGATGATGGGAGAAGTGAGATTGGAGCTTAAGAGTAACATGCAGGACTCCTGCTATCTCTGATCACTACCCTAGCTCCTATTACCCACAGCTACCTACTCCTCTGGATAGGCCTCCTCACTCTCTCCATACCTTCTGCCCACCATTACCTCTCCACCTTTACTCAAGCTTTTGATGTTTGAGATGTGCATGAATCTCCTTTTCTAGTCATCTTTTCAGACATATAGGTCAATTTTACATCCCCTAAACTTCTCCTTTTACATCTGCGGGAAAAACCGCTGGAGAAGCTCAGTATCAGCTGTGAAAACTAGGCCAGGAGCTGATTGTGGAACAGACCACCAACTACTCA